AGAATGATTACAAACTTTCCCAGAGAATGCAGAACGAAAAATAAAACAAAATTGTTTTGAAAAACAAGGGAAACCTTTTCCTGTCATGTTCGATTTTCCTAATTTACAGAAATACTGTGTTTATCAATCAAGGACAGCTGGCTTGGCTATTTCGAGGGATTTAGTCGAAAACAATAAACATCTTGAGTGGTTTGGCTAATAAATTTCGATTTTAGTTACATTTACCTGTTACCAAACGAAAACAGCTCACTGTGACGATGCCACGTAAAGAAAGCATTGAACTGTGCGTTACCTCTGCTGCACAAAAAATGCGTGCATCAACAGTTTTTAGCGTGAAGATAACAAAAGAAAATGAAAGTCGCTTCAGAGAGGAATCAGTGGATATATTTAGAGTGAAAAACGCTGCAAAGCGCTCATTTTTGTGCAAGGATCGACGCGAATTTGGTTCACTTCAATCCACATTAAGAGATCTCCAAAAAACTAGCGAAACCAGGATAAAAGAATATGAAGATAACAAACGGAATCTGCATTGGGTTCTGTACAATCTACGCCACGAGAAAACAGGTAAATAGGCAACTGGTTCAAAGAGAAAATGCATCATGCAAACTATGGCTCCGTCCACAATACGCCAGAGAAATATCAAAACGCAGCTTTATTTGCACGGTTTATTTCTACACTAATTCTTCACGAAAACGGAGCTTTTCGAAAACTTTCTTCAAACCAGATTAAACCATTTTAAAGACGGAACTTTTCGAAAACGACGATGTTACGATTACCATGTGAGTTTTCCCGAAACACAAATCCAAAATAACCAGTGATTGTTGCGTTTTCAAACTTCTCCGGCTTACGTAGTGTGGACGGAAAACATTTGATGCGCGTTTTCAGAGTGAAACCTCCGTTTTCAAATTTCTTGGGCAAAGTGTGGACGCGGTCTATGCCGTCTTTTATGGATAATTCAGGTGACTAAATTCTTCAACGAAATTGTAGTCAGGTTTTAACCAACAGACTAACTAAGCAATTTATCTTGTTCCATTGTGATGTGCTGAGAAAAAAATCAAACTCTCGCGCTTTATAAGAAGCACGGTTGAGCGAAATGACTTTCGTGCTCAAAAGTGAAAGATTTTGGGTTAATTAGTTATTCCGGTGGGTGTTAAGTTTGTTAACATCTTTCCCAAATCATGATCCAAAACCATTTCCGATCCATAAACCCATGTACTGATTTGCATCCAACGCCAAACACTGAAACATTTTAAGCCCGCCTAGTCTGATAGATAAAAGTTACACCTACATTATTGAGCTTAAGGAATCTGACTGACTCGCGCCCTGTTTACAATAAATTGTTTTTCTTCAATGCTATACCTGAACCCATTCGACACAAAATCGGAAATTGAATTAGCAGGATAAACGAAATCGCAAGCAACGGAAGCTCGGCAGATCTAGGAGATTTGTTGCGGAATTCTCTGCCGTCTTAATATGCGAGAGGCGGCGACATATTCTCGTTGCACGCTAAAAGCCTTTACTTGTTTAGTTCTGAATGTTTACCGACATAACAGTTTTTCCTGATATTATATATTGCATGATTGCATGTATGGAGATGAGTAACAATGCAATTGAAATATTCATGAATTTAATCTTAACACTTAACTTTAATTACCAAAAGTGTTACCATTATATTAATTCTAAATTTAAATTTACTCAGTGAGACAGTGAAAGAAATGATGAAATGGATAACTCTTTCCCGTAACTAATGACCATTCCGTGGTAAACATGTTGAAAATTTTCGCGTCTATATTAAACTTCGGAGTCCAGGGGTCCTTTTATCGGAGTGCTACTTTAAAACAGCCATTACGCATGTTTGGGTCCCGTCGATTTTTGCACTTACCAACACCATTCAAGTGCTACTTTCAATCCACATACAAAAGAGACATTGTGTACCTCATTAAATTAGCGATAATGGAATTTCCACAAGCCGTATATAAGAATCTTACCCGGCTCTCTGGACCAATTTGCGCAAAGCATATGGAGACGAGTATTTATGCTTAACCGGTTCTAGAATCAGTTTTAAACTCACATTTCCTGAGGGATTACTCAGAAAAAAGTGGTGACAGAGATTGAAAAGTGTTTTATGTTGCTAAAAGCTTGCAAAATTCACTCCTTTAAGCTGAAAAATCCACGCGTTTATAATACATGTAAATAGATCGAAGTGTTTTCATTATTTCAATTAAACGCTTTTAAAAAGTGTTTTTGCGATTTCTTTTCTCGCTTTCCGCGCTGCTTTCAGTTCAGATCACAAAACAACACATACAACTATTCAACCGGCCAATCACAATATAAACGCTTTCTTCTCTCTATGAAGCAAATTAGCACTCTATGGGACAAGACTGAAGTACATCTACGCGAAAATTTTCAAAACTTATCAATGCTGTTTGAGTATGTCTTCCAGTAGACAAGCGTATGTTCTGCCTAGCGACAGTATCGCTGACACAACAAGAAGGCTATGTTATGGGAAGATTCGTAGAGAAAACACTGCCTTGCTACGAACCATTGAAGGGTTGAACGAAGAAGAGGAAATCCGTAAGAGGAGACATAGAGACGAGAAAAGCAACCTTCAACAGATAATATATCACTTGAATTATCAAAGAGAAGGTAAAGGAGAAAACTTAAACTGAAACGGCTCAGGTCAATTTCTCAAACCGAATGGTGTGAGACCAGCAATTACGGGTGTAATTTTTAAAAGCCTCAGTAGTACTTAAAGGCATTCGGTTCACCTCGGGAAATGTTATGTTTCGAAAAGCCGTGCTTTCTCTGCAGGGATGATTTGATCAGTAGTGTGGTTAGAAAATGAAAAAGGAGAAAATAAATGGAATAGTAGCAGCTTATGACAGATTAACATTTCGAGGTATTACGGAAGACTAGAGCCTCAAACTAGCTCACTATGATAAACTAAAGAAGCTATTTCTGTGACCTTTTGCCGTAAGGAATTCGAAGTTGCCTTTTTTTTTCTTGTTCCTCATTCCTATTCCATGCAGAAGATACGCCCAACGTGATTTTTTGTTTAGTTATTTTTTTTTTAATCAGTTGGCAAGAATTCCAGTTGGTGCGTAAGGGCATACCTCAATTTTAGGGCCAAGATTATGGTTCGCACAAATGGCGAACGATTCAATTGCACTCATTACCAAGCCAATTTGATAACTATGTACCAAAACCAGGAACGCTAGTAAAGACCTATATCCGACCTTAAAATTTCTCAAAACGAATTTTACAAGAACTGCATAGAATACAGAGAAGAGCATTGGAATTGAAACTGACCTTACCAAATCCTCTACAGGTTTGTCCCCTTCGGGAAGCATAATTGCTGGTGATACACATCGCCTCGCTTCCACGCGCGGAATGCAAGCTGAGAGTGACTGTCGTGAGATAAAGAGCATACGCCGGCCCCTTGCACCCCAGAGCACTAGAGATCATGGAAACAGACCTGCTTTGCGACCTAACCTGCAATCCAAGGAGGGCTCCGTTATTCCTCGAGCAGTCGAACGCGAGATTCTCAAACGACAAACTATGCGTTTGAAAACCAAAGACCAGAAGCGACAAGAAGGCGTGAAACAAAGAGAAATGCAGCTGGAAGACATGGTGGGTGTGTACACCAGGATAAACATGGTGAAGGGAAGTTTAAATTACAACGGAAAGCCGAGACATAGGTACGTGAAGTTTACAAGGTTCACAATTTAAGCTGTGATGATCACCGCTGAGATGAAATTTGGATTGTCATCATCATCATTATTATCAACTTCATTGAAGTGTCGGGGGTATTTAGCTAGGTGGCTAACTGGGAACACTAAGGGAGAACAGTGTTGGTCAGGGAGATCAGACTGGTCAAGGACTTCTTGGATTTGAATCTGGAGAAAAACTGACAAAACCAATGCAAAATGCACCAAAGTTTGGATCGTACCCACAAGCAATATTCCTTACGTCGTCTTTGAACTCAGCGTCCACACTTATCTCACTGTCCATGTTTATCAGTTGAACAGTACGGATATGCAAACAAACGTTGTCTTGTCTTGCATTATTCAGTCAGTTCTGTCTTGTCCATGAGATAACTGCAGTAACTGCGTGGAAAATATGGACTTTGACTCCTTACAAATGGTTTCCAGCGAAATAATTCAGTTCCTTAAATTACGGACGAATCGTCATCATCAACGTTTATTTCTCTTAACGGAATTAAAATAAAATTTATATTGGCTTAGACAGGGCTAAGAGACCTCAAGGCATGTCAAGACGCACTTGCATACTGATACTTTATTGACCCATTGAGTGTACGTTAACTTGTCATTAAAGAACGAAGTGATATATCATTTCTCTTTTTCTTTCACAGCACAGATGAAACCAAAATAAGTGGTGCGTATATAACATCCGGCTGGAAATATCGGTATAATTCAAGTTCTGTAGAAGTCGAGCTGGCTGCAGAGAGCTTGTCGACAAAAGAAGCTGGTTGGGACCTGCGCGACAGCACTTATAAAGTATTTCTGACAAATGGTAGCAAACATAAGGTTGTTCCGTCAGTGCAAGATAAGGTAAAGAAAGTGTCCAGTATTATTCCAAAAGAATCTAGAAATAATGTGAAACGAAGGTTAACAATACCCAGAGTAAACAACGTGGTTCATGAAGCAGCAAACCTGAGTGATTATAAAGATAGCGAAACAGAGGAATTGGAGCACTCTAAAGGTTATAAGGTGCTTCCTTGTGAAGAATTGAAGGAAAATCGAAAAGGAACATTTGAGAAGATTTCTGCGCGAATTGATGCAGTAGAGGAGATCGCCGACGAAGTAAACGATACGAAAACGAGAGAAAACGGCCACGAATTTGCGAGAGTTACTTCAGAAAAAACATCAAACTCCTCGGGTAAAGCCTTTGGAGAAAGTGGTGCTAAAAGGTGGGTTTGTGCTGTCAAGAACAAAGTCCTTCTGCCGTTGAGATTTCGGCCACAAACAACTGCAAGACGTGGAAACAGAACGGATTTACAAGCTTCAGATCGCAGGGATAGTTATGTCAAAGATAGCGACAGTATCACGAAAGCAAATATAAGGGAAAAGACATTGATGCCTCCAACTGAGGAGCACAATGCTATGGTTGAGGAGAAACCCAGTTCATTAAGTGCCGGCAAGTTGCAAAAACTGATAAGAGAGAAAGTGCTCAGCCAATCACAGAAGAGTAACAAGCGAGCCAATAAGAAATCAGTGCTGCTCGCCGACTACATGTGCACGCTCCAGAAACACATGGGGATCAAAGATGAGGTCCTAGAAAGTAATTCCCCTGATTTCAGCGGAACGCCGTTCATAGCGGCAGAAAAGAGATCCAGGTACGAAGACGAGCAAGATAGAGAACCTCGAGCGGTCGATAGGCGGTTAGAAATCCTACAAAGGCAGATTGTCAGGCTTCCTGGCTCATTCACATTACTAGATAGTGACTTGCTAGAAGATTGACGAAAATTATTCTGTGACTTGCACCTGTGTATAAAGGCATCCTAAGGCTGGAGGAAAAAGACCATTTGAGATAGGATTTTGTTTAATTTTATATGTGCAACATAGTTTGGATCGTACGCGCTCTGTATCGCATCAGCTCAAAGTAATCAGTGCTTTCGGAGTACACTGTAAAACACTGAAAATCACTTTCTATTGGTTTCTGTCGTACTGTTTTACTCGTGAAAACAAATCTAATATATTGAAGCCAAAGTCATGTATTACTATCATTAAACAATCCAGTCATTAATTTCGTGAACAGCTACGAAATGTAGGAAACACTCGACTACGACGCGC